TTATTAGTCTGTACATATATATATATATATATATATATATATGTATATATATAACTAAATTTATAACTGTACATATATGTATTGGATTTGGAAATACATAGATCTAGATTCAGTTTCACTGAATATTTTTTAAATGGATGTGAGTTTCACAAAATGCATTAGGAAAATGTTGATGTAGATTCGAAAAGAAAATCGTCAATTTTACTATTCAGGGATATACTTCGACACAGGTTAAATATCATCTGGGAATGATTTCCATATGGTGTTTCTGCAATGGGTGTGCTTTGAAAGTCGCTTCCCGTAATGATGGGATCGCACCTAAACTTAGGTAAAAAGAAAAACATGTTTATCCTATCAATATATATACAGGGTTCCGCTCCCGCCAAAGTGGAAGAGCTGGCTAAGCAGATCGAGGCGTCCCAGGGCTTTGTGATGGTATGTCCTGAGTACAATCACTCTGCTTCCCCGGCACTGACCAATACCATCGGGCATTTTGGCGGGAGCTTGTTCGCGTGGAAACCTTCGGCGATTGTTACGTACAGTATAGGCCAGTGGGGTGGGCAAAGAGGTAAGTGCATATGATAGTATGTGTAGGGGTATGTATGCGCATGGGCTTGGAGGTATACTGATGGGTCATCTGTTTGATTACATACACATTGTACTATGGTCATTGACTACCTACCATCGCGCATGTTGGCGGGTGTTTGTTCATGGGAAGACCTTCAGCTACTATTCAGTAAATATTGTACATTGGGGTAGACAACAGATAAGTTTGTGCAAACACATGTGAAATTGTCAGTGTAAAATTTTAATATTCATATGTTTTATTGCTTCTAGGTATTTAGTCGAGACTCTAAATACTAGCACAGGTATGCGTAAACTCTGTTCTGGCACTCACCTGAACCTCATTTCGAAGACGCTCTTCCACAAGGGCATGGAGCCAGATCATCTTACATGTATATCCGGTTGAGTGTCCTTTTTAACTTTGACTTCGAATTGTTTGTATACAATGTTGTGAAGCATGCAGTCGCTCGCAATTTGTACGCCGAAATATGAACGGCACCCTCCCTATATTTACGCGTGACACGGATTTAAAATAGCACAACTGCGAGTAACCTTTTCCACGAGCACACTGTTGCAACTCACTCTTCCAATGCAACGCCAACTCGGTGCATGCCAAGGCACTTCGTACTTGTCTGACTGAGATTCTTTTTTTCTAGTTTTCTGACCTTGTTTGTCCTAAAATTGCTGATTTCATTCTGCATTCAACCATCGAACCCGAAATGACGACCGACTGAACGAACACCAACTCGGGGGCTATAGCTGCCATGGCTCTAAGGCCTATTTTAAGGTAACCGGAAACAATGCTTGGTGTGTCAGTGAGCAAAGCCGTTGCCAAAAGCCATTGCACGCTTGACATGCAGGGAGTATGGGTGTTATATCATACAAACGTGAATTACCATCTCATTAGGCTCACTGCCTGAGTGGTCAGCACTTGCCTATGGGGTTTTGTCCTTTGTTCTGGTGTATTCACCGTCACCTGTCCAGTTGTGTCCAATGAGCTGGGCTTGCCCATGCTATCCCACTGCTAAAAATTGGGTTATTTATCATACCTACCTACTGGTTTGTTATCGTGCCGTTGCGCAGATTTTTCTCGCCAGACATTCCGGCGTGTGGCGTACTAGCGTGCCGTGTGGCACCCACGTTATCTTAAGTGTTCAGTGCTTTGAAGTGTGTGCCTTCACCTTGCACTTGCTTAACTAACATGCCTGTGAGAAAAATCACATCACATGCGTATTGGTACGACGCCTTCTTGCTTTGCCATATCTGCGTGCTTTGCGACAACTGCGTACTACACGACATCTGCTTATTTTACGACACCTGTTTATTTTACGACGCCTATGGAGAGTAGTGAGCTAGGATGTCTCCCAGTTTCTGCCATTACAGCCTTCCCCATGGCCCATCAGTTGTTCAAACCAGACGGAACACCCACAGACTCAGAGAAAACAATGGAATTGACCAAGTATATAGGTAGGTTGATGGACATATCGAGATTCAGCTATAGGTATATACATATGTACGTACTGTTCAGATTTTACCTGCGTATACATATTGATGGATTTATTTCTTCAGTTTTTTCACACAAATACAGAAAACACTCGCACTCACATATATATATATATATATATATATA